ACAAAATCAAATCTGGCCAAGATTTTGAAAGAATCCAAGGTCTGCCCAGGATTTTGGAAGATTTCCCAAACAAAGTGTGATCTTTTTCAACAATTTCCAAGGCCATGGAACTTATGCAGCCACTTTTGCATTGAATACAGCTGCAAGTTACTGATGGTGACCAAGAGAACATCTTTGGTTAGTTTTGAACATGATTTTAAGCTTCTAGTTAGCATCAAACGGTACTGTTTTGGGAATCAAGTCTACCTCAACGTCTTTGCCACCTAACCCTTTTTGGTGAAGTCGGGCAACACAACCAGTGCCAAGTTTCGCTAGCGTGAATACCTCGCTTCACCAAATAGGCAATGTTCACCCATCCATACCTACCAAGTCACTACTCCCATAACTTATCCCGAAAATCTCCATGAGCTTGGATTCATGGGTTTATTGATGACCTGCGTAAAGGAATAGTGATCAGTTGATGAAAATGATGAAATTTAATAAATAAGAAAATAATAAAAGAAAGAGACTTCCTTATATATTTCTAGCGATGCAGTTATGTACTGCAACATTAGATACCGTTGAGCCTAACCATGTATTATAGTATCAGATATTGCTAGGCCTTTTGAGAAATGTATGTTGAAAGCATTAATAGGTGCTTAGATCAAAACGGGTCTTGGTGACATGAAAATTACCCAAGTTCAAGTTTAACCTTTTACAAAAACATCTATCACATATATTAACATAGAAATATAAAAATAACATCAAAGAGTGCGATTCTTGACTAGGAAAGGGATTATAAAGGAAAATGAGATGAAATTAACTTTACTTTTTTTTTAATAAAATTACTTGAATTCAATCTCTACAACTCAATATGCAAAATCATTCAAATCCTAAAAATTAAAAAAAAAAATTCAAATGAGACCATAATGAAAAAAAAATTGAAACAAAGCAAAAATACAAGAAAACATATTTTATGGTCACCATGCATATGTTATTTTATTATCTTGATAGCTTACTCTTCTTTAATCTTGTGCAATTGTGCGTTTAATGCATTAATAAAATTAATAATGCAATAAAATCTAAACTTAACAATTGAAAAGTGTAAAATCTAAAATCCTTTTAGTAATAGTATGGCAAACCATAGGAATCAATTAACAATTATACAAATAATTTAGCCATTAAAACAATAATTCTTTACTGCAAAACAATAGTTATAAATTACAATATGATAGATTTTCAAAAACTATATAATAAAATAATATAATAAATTTTTTATTTTTTAAAGATATTAGAGCATTACCTAAAAACTACAATCTAGATAGAAATTTAAGAACCCAATTAAAAAGAGACTCTTACCCAAGAAAAAAATTTGAGGAGAAATTGTATTATTGTCCCCTTAGGTTTAAAATTTAAAAAACTTAATGCTAATTAAAGAATAATTCTAATGGAAGAAGCAACGTAAATAATTATGAAATTAGGGAGAAAGGAAAAGCACGACGTCAAAACATTTAAAATATTAGGATCTTTAATAATAGTAATTAAATATGCAAAATATAATGCAAATTTTAATTTTATTAAATTTATTATGTTTTATTATTAGATGTTCTAACATTTTATATATCAAAATATCATAATTTTCTCTTTTCACAAGTAATTAATTACCTGAAAATTTAAGTCTAGTAGTGGGCCCTATACTTTTATTCTCCTTTAAAGTTTAAAATGTTTAATTAATACATTTTGTTTAAGTTTTTAAATAGACAAAAAAAAAAGCCTTCTTAAACCCTCAAACTTACCCCAAAATAGTTTTTAAGCTCTTAAACTAAAAACAAAGCAGATAAGCCTTCCAACCCTTAATGATGCAAATAAGCCCTTTTACTTTATTTAATATCACTTTGAAAGCATGAACACCCACAAATGAGAATGGCTTATTTGCATCGTTAGTAGATAATTGAAGGGCTTATCTACTTTATTTTTAGTTTCAGAAGCTTACATGCTATTTTGGGGTAAGTTTAGGGCTTAAAAAGGGTTTTTGCCTTTTAAATCTGTAAGAGAAGATAATTATCTTAATTAATAAGCCAATATTTCCAATTTTTTAGCCACTGTCTTCAATTTTCACACGTAATTTAACCACTATATTAAAATTGTTTATGTAATATTGATTTTAAAAATAAAATTAAAGTTTGTATATTTTATATAAATTAGTGGACTTATTTGAGATCATGGGGGACATTGGATACATGGATTTGTGTTAAATATTGATCCATAATCCAGCTCTATGGCGAAGCTTTGGGGCTGTAGTGCAGGTTTAAGTTTACCATCTGAGTTGAGAATTACACATTTAACTCTAGAAATGGATTACACATTTAACTCTAGAAATGGATTCTCTTATGGCTATTGAAATGATTCTGGCGAAAAAACCAAGGGAGGATCCTGCTTCCGTGCTCTTGTTTGACATTTTTCACTTAATTAACATGGTCATTGATTGTAAGGTGCAACACAACCTCCGTGAGGGTAAGTCAGCAGCTGACTTCATGGCTGCTATTGGCCATTCTCTCCCACAGCCACAGGGTATTCAGTCTCCCCAGTGGGCATTAGAGGCATTAGAGGCATTCTTCAAGGAGACAATCTAGGAACGTTTGTTCCTTAGGACTTAGCTTGTTTGGCTTTTTATGTAGCAAATATATATATATATATATATATATATATTTATATTAATATAAGTTTTTTTAATATGTGCCCTAAAAGTTTAATTATTACTTTTTATATTAATTAGTTTAAAAAAAGACAAAAATTGTCATTAATTTTATTAACAGTGTTATGTGAATAATTTTAATTAAATAATTACTTAAATAAAGGTTAATTTTTATTTTTTCAATACTAATTAACATTAAAAGATTGCATTGTTAAAGCATAGATTAGAGAAACCCAATTAATTATACTAGAAAAGAATATAATAAATTGATAATCCAATGCTGTAAGCATTGCCCAATGTACCAAAAAAAAAGAATATAATAAATGCATTCTTAATCTATATAAGACATAGGTTTTAACTTATAAGCAAATGTTAGAAAAATCCAATTAATATTACTATTCCCTCTATTCATTTTTAGTAGTTATAATTTGACTTTTTATTTTCCAAATGTAAATTTTAAATGAAAATTTAACATATTATATAAATAATAATTAAAAATTTTTTAAATCAAATTAAAGTGCTAAAAAAAATACTTCATATAAGAAGAAAAAAACTTTTCAATTGTTATTTATATAAATTATTAAATTTTCATTTAAAATTTATGTCTGAAAATTTAAAAATTAAACTAAATATATTAAAACTAAATAATAGATATATAAAATAAATATATTTTTAACCTATTTAAAATATAAAGTAGAAAAACCCCTATTCTAATTATCAATCATATGATTTGGTAACGCAGCATTATTTATTATTTTTCTTTCCCTCATGATGGAACGACCTTCTCAAGAAATTCAACATTAATCAACAAGGCAAGTAACAATTAAACTTCATTATCACCATGTCCACCACCACTCGTCGAGTGATTAGGCGTTTTGTCATCATAAAAACAGTTTATTTATCCTGTATCTTAAGAGAAGTAATTATTATTGCTTAATAATTATTATTTTTTATCTTGAAAATGATAAATTTGATTTTTATTTCAATCATAAACATCATATGTTAATTTTTTTTTATTA